GGTATTTTTTTTTTTTTTTTTAAAGCTTCTGCAGCTAGCTCGGTGTCTTCCCAAAAGGCTGCCCAGTTTTGTGCTTGAAACCCAGGGCCCTGGTGGCATAGGCACCAGAGGGAGTCTCCCGGTCTGCCGGTTATGAAGACTGTGGGAAAAAGGACAGTATCTAAGCTGGAGTGCACCTTCCTCCCGATAGTCTCTCATGGTTTCCCTTGGCTAGGGGAGGGAAATCTCCTGACCACTTGCGTGTCCCCGGTGAGGTGATGCCCCATCCTGCTTTGGCTTGCCCTCTGTGGGCTGTACCCACTGTCCAACCAGTCCCAATGAGATGAACTAGGTACCTCATTTGGAAATGCAGAAACCACCTGCCTTCTGCATTGCTCTCACTGGGAGCTGCACACTGGAGCTGTTCCTATTCAGCCATCTGGCCAGCGAGCTTGAGAATTCTGTGTTTATTATTACTGCTCAATATCATGAATTATATTCCTCGTGCTATAATTTGGCATACTACATTGCCATTTTACATTGTTTAGAAATAACCAGGAGTTATTTGTCCTGGGTTAATAATAAGAACTACATTTGAGAAATCACAGCAGCACATGTGACTGCAATTTTTTAAATGAAGATACCATGCAATGGTACCATTCTTACAATCTAATGCACATAATTATTTCTTGTCTTTAATCTATTATATATATTTTACATTACAAATTATCATATGAATTATGTATGTTTTTCTCTTCTATTACTTTTAATCATCCTGTACCAGAAACCTGATTAACCTGATTATTACAAACACAAATTCAAGGAAAAAAGTTTTCCCAACACTAGAAATGCTCTAAAAACCATGTGCTTTAGAGTTTAAGGCTCAGTATTTGAGTTCAGGTTTCACTTATGTTTTACAAAATAATGTTAATATACACTTTTATATTAATATATACATTATAATATATAATTTTATATTATATATACTTTACATTAATATATACAATATAATATATAATGTATATTAACATACATTATAATATAATATAATGAAATGTTAATATATACTTTATTATTTTTAATAAATTATTTTTATTTTAAAAACTAAATAAATAAAAACCAAAAACAGTATCTACTATCAACTGTCACCATCATATTATAAAAACAAGGACCTTTGAAATAAAGATTGAATAAATTTAGCCTTATGGAAAATTTGTTCTTTTGATTTTTGAGTTTTTAAATTACACTTTTTATATAAATGATAAATTCCAGGTGGTTCCAGCACTTAAAATATACAAAAAAAAATTCGGTCCAGTCTTCTCATTTTGGTCACTCATATGCTCAGTTCCCTTTCTCTCTTTCTCTCTTTCACCCTTTTAAAATATGTTGTTTTGTTTTTTTTTTAAGTTCAGGGGTACATGTACAAGTTTGTTTATAGGTAAACTGGTGTCCTGGGGTGTTGTACAGATTATTTCATCACTCAGATATTAAGCCTAGTACATTTTACTTTTCCTCATCCTCTCCCTTCTCCCATCCTCCGCCTTCCAATAGGCAATAGACCTAGTGCATATTGTTCACCTCTATGTATCCAGCTATACTCATCCTTTAGCTTCCACTTCTAAGTGAGAACATGTGGTATTTTACTTTCTTTTTCTGTGTTAGTTTCATAAGGATAATGGCCTCCAGTTCCATCCGTGTCCCTGCAATAGACATGTTTTTGTTCTTTTTGTGGCTGTGTAGTATTCCATTGTGTCTACGTACCACATTTTCTTTATCCAGTTTATTATTGAAAGGTATTTTGGTTGATTCCATGTCTTTGTTATTGTGGATAGTGTTGTGTATGTGTATGTGTCTTCATTATAGAATGTTTTGTATTCCTTTGGGTATGTACCCAGTGATGGGATTGCTGGGTCGAATGGTATTTCAGTCTTTAAGTCTTTGAGGAATTGCTACATTGCCATCCATGATGGCTGGACTAATTTACACACCCACCAATGGTGTATAAGCGTTCCTTTTTTGTCTACAACCTTGCCAGCAGCATCTGTTTTGTTTGTTTGTTTTACATTTTAGTAATAGCTGTTTGGACTGGTGTGAGATGGTATCTCATTGTGGTTTTGATTTGCATTTGATCAGTGATTTTTTTTTTTCTTTTTTTTTTTAATGGAGTCTTGCTCTGTTGCCAGACTGGAGGGCAGTGGCATGATCTCAGTTCACTGCAACCTCTGCCTCCCAGGTTTAAGCAAGTCTCCTGCCTCAGCCTCCCAAGTAGCTGGGACTACAGGTGTGCACCACCACGACCAGCTAAGTTCTACATTTTTAGTTGAGACAAGGTTTCACCATGTTGGCTAGGATGGTCTTGATCTCTTGACCTCGTGATCCAAGAACCTCGACCTCCCAAAGTGCTGGGATTACAGGCATGAGCTACCGTGCCTGGCTGAGTTGCTTTTTTTTTTTTTTTTTTTTTTTTACATGATTGTTGGCCATATGTCTGTCTTCTTTTGAAAAGTGTGTGTTCATGTCCTTTGCTCACATTTTATAAGGTTGTTTGTATATTTAAAGTGAAAAAAAGTGGGAATTTCTTTGCAAGCTAAATAACTATTCCTAACAGTACTGCAAAAAGATAATGTGTAATAGAACTAGAGAGTGGTCAGTCTATTAAAACATAAGAAATGAAGAAATTTTGAATTTACTCAAATATAAAGGTTAATGGCTGGGAAATTTTCTCTTGCCATTTTTCAAAGCCCAAGGTGAATAAATTAATATGCATTTGAAATTCATAATGTGTGAATGAAATTGAATCATAGAATTCTGAGAAGTATCTCAATAATCATAGAATCATTTCTTTTTAGAACATTTTTCATAGCTCTCTAGTGTGTTTATATTAATTTAAACATCACTTTCTCCTTTTTTTATCCCTATGAATAATAAGGATCTTAACAGAGAAAAATATGTACTGCAGTGTAAACATACTTTTATGCCATTGCTGAACTATGTCAGATTTAAATTTGAATATTTACTATTATTATAATCAAAAGCATTTTTATAAAACCATTTTATTTTTTAATAGTAAACTATAATATTTCAGGAGATATAGACACAAACTTTATTTTTAAATTTAAAAAACTAAGTTAATGTATAACTGCAATAAAAATAAGAATTAAATCTAAAAATTAAAGATTAATAAAGCTCAGAGAAACTTTAACAATGGCAAATCAGTACTTTCCCAACTGCAGCACATAAAAGCCAAATGTTTCTATTAAATAGTTTCTTTGAAATCTGCTTGACTTGTTTGTAAACTTACTGTGTGAAATGTTGTTTTATTTTCTAGTTCAGTCATTTTTGACATTTGACAGAGTATTACTAGGTGAGAGTCTTTACAGTACATTTGAGCCTATAACAAACTTTCAAAAGTTCTAAACTGTGATTTAAAAAGTGAAATACATTAATCCTGAAATTTCTAAACAAGACAAAGGCCTTGTTGTATTAATTACTTATAATATATTCAATAAGATACAAAGTCTTGAGATGCATATAGTGTAAAATTTTAATTCAGAAATTAAGAAAACTAATATATTTTTTCAGTGTGTATGTTTAGTGGTTTCTCTGGTCATAATTTGGTTCACCTAAGCTTGACATTTTCAGTAATATTAAGAGCTTATCAGAGGACAGAACCTGAATGAATGCTCATTTCTAACTATTAAATTCTAAGCTGTACTCACTTTTACTTTCTCTTTTTCTCATAAATATACATTTAGATATACATGTAATTACTAGTATAATATTATATGCTCATAATGATTAAGCTATTTTTGTTCACCAAATTGAATGTTCTTCAATATACTTCTCTTCTTGTTCTTGGACCCTTAGCATCTTTTTTATCATTTTTCCCCAACTTATTCGTAAGGAGGACAGGCTGCAGAACACAAAAGGCATGTAAAAAATATCACAAGTCTTTATAGTTTACTTTGTTAGCTTTGATCCCTAGAAGAGCAATTCTTCTTAATGTTTTGATATGTGCAGATAGGGCAAGGTAATTGATGTCTGAGAGAAGAAATTGCAAGAAACAGGTCAAAGATGGAAAAATGTAGTGCCTTGATGGAAAGGATGAGTGTATTAGCTTTTCTTGTATTTTTTCATTGATAATTTTACTGTAATTATGTATGTTTTTCTTTAAGTATTAGTGACTATGTAATCTGTACAGTACTAAGACATATAGGCATGAGTAACTTGACAAATAAGGTGACATTCCTTCCTACTAATTTTTAAAATAAATTTGATTATATATATTTAAGGTATGGGCCACATGATGTTATAAGATACATATGGGTAGTAAAATAGTAACTCTAGTGAAGCAAATTAACATCCATTATCACACAGTTACCCATTTTTCATGTGTGTGTAGCAAGAGCAGCTAAAATCTATTCATTCACCAAAAGTCCCAAATACAAGGCAATATTTTTAACTATAGTCCTCATGTTATACATTAGGTCTGTAGATTTGTTTATCTAAATATCTGATGCTTTTTGTCTCTTGATCTAAATCTGCACATTTTCTCCCCACCCACAGCCTCAGACCTTGGCTTTATAACCACAGTTTTATTCTCTATTTCTGTGTATTTGAGTTCATTTTTTTAGAGTCTACCTATAAGTGAGATAATTACATTTGTTTGTGTCTAACTTATTTCACTTAGCATAATATCTTTCAGTTTCATCCAGGTTGTAACAAATGGCAGGATTTCCTTCTTTTATAAGGTCAAATAACATTGTGTTTGTGTGTACACAAACATAATTTCTTTATAATTTTGCCCATGTTCATTGCAGAATTATTCATAATAGCCAAGATATGGAAAAATCTTATTACTTTTTGGATTGATATTTATGAAATATTTGAATTACTGTACTATAAATATGTTGAATAAATCAAATCAGCCTCCAAATCCAATTGCAACCCTGACCAGTTTGAAGCAAGAAAAATATATTCAAGAAAATCATATAAATTCTCTCTATTCCTCTCTCTCTCAGATGCCTGTACCAGTCAAGAATTTTACTGGCTGCATAGAAGTTATAGAGATAAACAACTGGAGATCTTTCATTCCATCCAAGGCAGTGAGAAACTATCACATTAACAATTGCAGGTAAAACACCAGTAGCTATTTTTCAAATAATCTGTTCAAATAACCATACCTAAAGGTATCATTTCCAATTGAAATAATCTAATCAAGGATGAAGTATATTTCATTCTTTTTGTTTTTGCTTCACATTCCTACATTCTACTTCACTGTCTTACAGATTGAATTTTTAAGCTATATCCCAATTAAGATGGACCATTACTTATAAAGGGTATCTGTTTTGTGCTATATAAAATATACCATCCAACGAATAATCAGTCACAATCAGAAAACATCCTCTATCAGAGTTAGTTTAAAAATGAAGCATGCTGACAAGCATGCCTGTGTTATATTGTGTGGAGTGCTAAAATACATCCTTTCTCCAAATTATCACTCTTAAAAAATTGTCTTGTTCTTCAGTTTCCATTAGTGGAGATGCATTTCTTTCAGACTCTGCCTCTGGCTACCGAAATCTCCAAACATGGCTTTTAATTGGGTGAACTAAAGAGATAGCACAAAGAAAATATTAGCCATTCATGCATTGGTAAGAAGTAGTTAAAATTTTGTTTCTTCCCTGATATTATTGAGAGGGAACTCAGACAATTAAAATGACCCTTTATAAAAAGGGTTATTTTGGGAGTATTATGGTAAATTGGAAAAGGAGATGTAAGATATCATGGTGAGGCAGGTTATTTGATCACAGGACAGCATAAAAGCTCACATCTTAATCAGTGTAAGGTCGTTCCTCATGGAAGCCCAGAGCAGCTCTAGCCATCTGGATTTTTGAACACTCTTTTCCTTTAGAAGACCTGTGGGATGATTTGAGCCTCGCAGTTTTGTTTCGCATTTCCCTAATTATTAATGTTATTCACCATCTTTTCATGTGTATATTGGATATTTGTGTATCTTCTCTTGAGATCTTCATATATATATTGGATATTTGTATACCTTCTCTTGAGACATTTCTATTTGATTTTTTGTCCATTTTTGAATTGGATTGTTTCTTTGTTTAGTCTTAGGAGTTATCTATATAATCTGATTATTAATCTCTTATCAGATATATGATTTGCAAATCTTTTCCATTCTGAGTTGTCTTTTTACTCTGTTAACAATATCTTTTGATGCACAATTTTTTTAGTCATGTCTGTTTTTTCTTTTATTGCCCATGCATTTGGTGTCATATCAATATCTAAGAAATAACTGCCAAATTCTATGTTGTGAGCCTTTTCCCCTATGTTTTCTACTGAGAGCTTTAAATTTTAGCTTTTTAATCCATTTTTAGTTAATTATTGTATATGGTGTTAGGTAAGGGTCCAACTATTTGGGTCATTCTGTTGTATGTGGATATCCAGTTTCTTCAACACCCTATGTTCACAAGCATTTTGACACACTAGGCATGAGCAATCTGAAAAAGTAATTGCAAAATCTATTTTATTTACAATATCATCAACTAAGTTCAGTTGAGTCTTCTTTTTATTTTACTTAATACATCTAACTAAAGATTTGTCAATGTTGTTGAATTTTTCAAACAACCAACTTTGTTTTCATCCATGTCCTCTCTAATTTGGGTTTAGATTGTTTTTTCTTCTTTTTTTAGCTTATTAAGTTGTAGTTAACTTACTGAATTTGAGATTTCTTATTTTTTAACGTAAGCATTTATGGCTATGAATTTCCCCCTTAGCACTGCTTTCACTGCATCTCGTACATTTTGGTGTGTGTTATATTTTCATTTTTATTTGTCTCTAAGTATTTTTCTACTTTCCATTATAATTTATTCCTTGATCCTTTGGTTGTTAAAAAGAGTGTTTAGTTTCCACAGATTTATAAATTTCTGGTTTTAGTTCTGTTATTGATTTTCAGCTTTAACCATTGTGATCAGAAAAGATAATTTATATGACATACGTCCTTCCTCTATTGAGATTTAATTTGTGGCCTAACATATAGTCTATCCTGGAAAATGTCCCACATGCTTTTAAGAATGTGCATGCAATTGTTGTTGCATAGTATGTTCTGTGTATGTCTGTTAGATCTAGTTGGTTTATTGTGTTAAGTCCTGTTTCCTTAATTATCTTTTACATGGTGACCCTATTAATTATTGAGAGTGGCTATTGAATTCTCCACTATTATTGTAGAATTGTCCATTTCTTCCTTAAATTCTGTCTTTTTAGCTTCATATATTTTGATAATCTGTAATCAGTTTCATAAGTGTTTATACACTGGGTCTGTCCTACAGACGCTGACCCAGTGACAGATGAAAGACGTACACGGACACAGATATTTTGCTTGTCAGTGTGGCTAAAGGGCTCTACTGCCAGAGTCTGCAGCATCGGCCTCAATAAGCTAGTGAAGTTTGCATTTATTTAGTACAGATTAAATGACAAAGGTCTCAAGTAAATGCCACTAGAGGGTAATTAATTTTGCTGAACCCCTGAATAGAGAGCAATCATGCACCCTTGATGATCAAAGGTTGGTCTTAGGACCACATGAGTAAACAAGCCATTTAGATAAACTCCCTCATTTGTATGTACTTTAAGCTATTAACTCAAGGTAAGAGGATTAGTCTGCCTTCAGCCATAACCCTATCCTGAGGCTTTTACAAAACCTACCGACCTTCCAAGAAGGTTTGTGTCTATTTTACAATTTTACCCACTACCCTGACTGAACTCTTATATTTCCCCCTTTTCTGTTATTTTGCATCAGGCTTTGTTGATTGAAGAGTACAGATGTGTGCAGCAACAGGTCAGGCATGCTGGACACTGCTCGTATTCCGGCTTTGAATCCTAGAATTAGTAAATAACATAAGACAAATATGAGTATAATTAGCAACATTCTTTTCCAATCCCTATGGAATTTAGTTCCATGTGTACTGTTACTAAGGAACCCCACTGGGTATGTGATAATCTCTCTTAGCCAAGCAATCACACTGTTAGAAGCTGGGAAGTGGGTGTTTGAGTGTAGCAGGTACCATATGCAGGCAGAGTGAGAGAACTTGAAAAAGGTTAATAAAGCATAGCAAGGAACACATTATCTGGAGTGAATGATGTGTGTGTCTGGAGCAGGATTTGTTCAACCTCTTGAGTTGTCTTTTCAGCATCCCCCAGGTAATGTCTGGGGCTGTGGGTCCTATGGGATCCTTTTCTTCATTTCTGGTACCAGGTTGGGTCTAGTCATGGTATAGTTTGATGTGTCATGCTGGAATCCAAAGAGGACCTGAGGGGGTGTGAACATAATCATATCCTCTTCCCCATGTTAGCAGTTCATTTGTACCACACCATTCATTACTGTTTACATCTTTCCATAAAATTGCAGGTTTTGTGTCTTGAGAGGTTTTAGCAAAGTGCTTTTCCACAGCTGATTGAAATTTATCTAAATTTTAAAAATTAAGGGTAAATAAGGCTTGTGCTAGTAGTGTTGCAGGGTCCTTACTCATACTCCGCCTTTTTCGAGCATATTTTTAAGGGTGGAGTGGGCACGTTCTATTATGGCTTGTCACTGGCGCTTATATGAGATGCTTGTGGAATGTTGGGTATTCCATGTGTGACAAAATTGTTGAAATTGTGAGCTGGCATAAGTGGACCATTATCAGTTTTAATTTTGTGGGTTGCCCCATAAATGCAAAAGTTAAATGATGATGTTTAGTGACATATCGGGTGGACTCTCCAGGAAGAGCGTGTGCACTAATTAGATGAGCATTGTTATCAATGGACACATGTACATATCTAAGTTTTCCAAATTTAGGGATGTAACATCTGTTTGCCATAACTGCCATAGTCCTAGAGGACTAGAACCCTCTAGGGTTAACACCTGTTGAAAGAGGGGATATGCCTGTGAGCTGGCAGTCTGGGCATTGCAGAATAATTTGGTTAGCTAGTCTCTGGGTAGGTTGAAATTGCTTAGTTAAGTTTCTCCAGTTTTGGTGGAAGAACTGATGTGATTCGGTGTCTTGGTCAAGCAGTGATGTCATAACCTGAAGGTCTGCTTGATCATTGCCATAAGCCAATGGGCCAGGCGGTGAGCTGTGGGCTCGAATGTGTGTAATAAAAATAAGATGTGTATGTTGATTTAGCAATTGCTGAAGTCAAAAAGTGCACACAGGGTGGGCTTTAGAGTGGACTTAATTATGGCTGTCTCAAGGTTCTGCAGTAAATAAACAGTGTCACTAACATTATTGATGGGTTGAGCAGAAAATGCCTCCAAAGCCAATATTGAGGTCCCAACCTCAGCTTTTTGAGTGCTAGTAAACCCAGAACGAGGAGGAAATTATGTAGTCTCCACCAAATGGCTATTTTTCCATGTTTACCAGAACCATCAGTAAATAGTGTTAAAGCGTTAGGTACAGGGGAGTGAACTATTTTTGCAAGTAACATCACAGAAGTACGAGATAAGAACTGAAAGAGTTTATCAGCAGGACGGGCATGGTCCATATGGCCTGTATAATCAGAGAGGGCTATTTGCAAATTGATGGATAATGGCAATACTGCTTCAAATTGCTTTCTACTTAAAGAAATCCTAATGATATCAGGATCATAACTTAGCAATTGATTGCATTGTCTGCAACCTGAATTTATGAATTTACTGATTATAGGGAAAGAGTGTTTTAGTCCCAGTATGTGAGCAAAAAACCCATTCTAGAAAGCATAGTACTGGGGCCATCTATCCTATTAACCCTGTAGGGGAGTGTTTAGTGGGAAAAATAAACAATTGAATTGAATAGCCTGGGTCTATGCAATCTAGTTGCCTGTGAGAAATGGCTTGTTCTGTTTCCTTGATTATCCTTTTTGCCGCAGGAGTTAAATACCTGGGAGAATCCAGGGCTCAATTGCCCTTTAAGATAGAAAACAGGTATTGCAACTTATCAGTAGGTATGTCCAAGGTGGGCTGAAGCCAGTTAATATCACTTAGTAATTTCTGATAATCATTTGAGGTATGTAAGTTGCTAGTGTTTAATTTAACATTTTGAGGTCTTACCAGGGAGTTAGTATGTACCCAAGATATTTCCAAGAAGAGGACATCTGTACTTTTTTAGG